TTCGCGTGCCCACTATTGTCCCTGCAATAACTACACGGAAATTGCATAAATATTTATCAGTTTAGTTATAAGTTCTGTCCCTGACTGAATGTGTTACCCTCGAGGCAGTCCATCTCCTGCCTCTGCTTAGCCCTAGGACGAGGGGCCTTGAATTTTCCGCATTGAGCTACAGCTGCGAGAGGATCAATCCTGTAATTAGGTGCCCTCTTCCTCCCCTCCCAACAGCCTCATATCTAACAGATCACTCTTTTAGGAAACATGCACTGTGAGGTTGAGCCCACTCCAGCTAAGAAGAAAATAAAACCCAGGCCTCCCCTCTATCTTGGGCGAGGGCCACACCCACTACACTTTAATATTAAAGGAAAGTATCAGCATCACCGTCACCTCCCGCTAACTCTCCCAGATCAAGGCCTTTAGGAAAGAAGCAGACCGTCTTAAGCAACGTGGCTTAAACACGAGAAACGTGAAAAGTTGAGCCTTTCTACCTGTCGGGTGCAAGGCAGGACTGGAAGCAAGAGAGGTAAACAGGCTCTTATCTGGAGAGAAGATTAAAAAAAAAAAGACTTAAAAAAAAATGCTATCTAGGCTTCTACAGAGTTAAGGTGCTTCACACTGGATGAGCTTCACGTTATCTGAGCAATGACCCTGGCTCTGGGCTGAGGTAGCTGCGCTCCAGCACCCTTGCCGAAGCTGACCTGTGCTTGCTGCAGGTAGACCCCTTCTCTACAGCTACAGCATAAGCAACTTTTGCATGCTGAATTTCAGGGTCTGAGCAAACACCCCTTTCAGCTGCTGCCTTCTGCCTCTGTTAACACAGTTAGATTTTTTTCTGATACAGAAGGCCTAGAAAAATTTTTACAGTTTATGAGAAATTTACAGTATTTTATTGGACCATCTGGAAACATGGTCTTTGCTTTAAAGGCGCTATTATGCGAGATTGCCTTTCCCATTCGTGTTTTCTTTGATGAAGGGGAAGTACAAAAGATCTTATGCCACCAACTCTTCCGCATAACCCTTCGCTCGGATTTCAGATGGGGGGTAGGTGAGAGGATGCATTCAGATCTGCTCCAAACCTAAACCTCACCAATTTTTCAGCCTTCTCCTTCTTCCACCATTCAAAAGACGTTTGCTTTTGAAGACCCAATGTACGTTCTAAAAAAGTTCTCCAGCACCATCAGCTACTCATCCACCTGCCCGCTCCAAGCTGCTCACATTTTTATGCTGAGGCCCAACCTGGTAACAGGTTGCCGCTGTCAGAGGCGCCAACTGCACCCTTACCTGCCCACCTCTTCAGTTTAACCCTATCCCTTGGCTTAACTAGACTGATCATGAGTTAAGAATGAAAGTTTCTTTCCCTGTTTAATTGTAGAGTCTAAACATACAGAGTTTAAGTACGCTTGATGCATCTAGTTCTTCATTCTGGGGCTGAACACCTGCCTCTGGTAGTAGGCTGAACAGGTCTGAAACGAAAAGGCAAGCTGTCAACTACATTTCACCACTGAACGCAAGCTCTGAGAAACTGTTTTTTAAACAAATTATTTGGATATAACACCAGAATTTGCCTATGTTTCTCATCGTTGAGTTTAGTCACTAGATGAGAGAATTCGGTTTGAGAGATGTGCGGCATTTCCTTGTTACATGGTTGTAAAACGTAAGGTGAAAGGTTACTGCTCAGCATCAGAGCCGAAGGTTCACCCCGTAGGGGTCTGAGCACATCAACTAAAATAAAATATCAGTATAGCAACTGAGGAACTGATACTTCTAAAAGCTCAGAACTTGCCAAGTAGCTACAGCAGCGTGCCTCACATTTCCTCAGCTGCGCGTTCAAAGCAGAAAGAGTTTAACGCTCAGGGTGAGACAGAGAAATCCCAGGAAATCCAAAATTAAGGCTGAGAGTTCATCCTTCACTCACACAATTGCCATTTTCCTTTTTTTTTAAATTGGTAATTTAAATTAATGCTCACGAAAAGCAATGAGCTGATGCACGAGCCGGAGACCGGGCAGCAGGGCAGACGTTATATAAACCTCTTCGCACAAACATAACAGCGCACCTAATGCCTCATTTGTTACAACCCGGATTGTCTAATCTTGGCTCCTGTCAGTGGTACAGAGCTGCTGGGGCTCCAGGGAGAGCAAACATCAAGCTCACAGTTCACTCCACCCTCAACAATACGCGGAGCCCAATTTCCTACCAGTGACAGGTTGGTGCAAACGCACTGCATGACTCCGGATCCTCTCTTCACCTCTCCCTTTGCTTTATCGTAACTTAAATCAAAAGGTAAATAGAAACCCCGGCTTTAAACTTCCTGACATTCGACAGTTTCAGCATCAACCATAAGTGTCAGCTACTTCAAAAAAAAAAAAAAAAAAGATCTCATTTCTTTTTAAAATGCCACTATTTGTTCTGGAGAGCATCTGGTCAAAGTGCAGCCTCTGCATTACCCTGTAGAGAAAGGGGCCAAACTGCAAAAATCATAGCACCGTATTTAATTATAAACTCTAGGATTTAACAAAGAGCAGTGAACTGCACAGGAAAAAACACTTTTCCATGATGGAGAAATCATTAGGGCTCTCTTCCTCTACTCCAAATAACCTACACTTTTCTGAAACTGCCTGCTTTAAACACGAACTACAGGTTTTCTGTTTTTGTTATGGCTTTTTTTTTTTTTTCCACAATAAGATGTCATTATGATTTGATTCTAGGCATACAGAGATACAAATCTCTTAAGTGGAGGACAGCAAAACTCTAAACTCATAATTCAGACTCAAGCAGCAGACAGGGAGATGCATGTATATTACAGAAATGATGATGCAACTTTCAGAGGAGGATCTCTTTCCTTTTATTCCTCAAATGTGAATTTTCATTTCTCCATAAACTGCACAAATGGGGAACGATTCCAAAATACCTCACAGTCACTCTGCATCCACCGCTGAAGTCAAACCACACAGAGCAACAGAAAAGCTGCAGTACAGACACACAATACAGACTGGGCCTTGTTTCTGCTGAGATTCCACATAGGGGATGTTCTGTGTGTCAAATTTAGTAGCCCTTTTGCACTTTCATAACGTTTCCATGTCAGAGGCTTCAGCCAGCTCGTGCTCTGAAAACACAACAATCTCTAACCATTGGCCAAAGTATCTGTTCCACAGAGCCTACAACCCGTGCGCGTTTTCTCCAGCTTTTTCCCAAGATATCACCTGGTCTTTCCAAACTTGTACATTGTCACGATGAACATCTGCAGCTGAACCTTCTTTCAGATAAGCCATTTACTTTTGGAAGTGTACCACATACTTTTGTCCTTTAAGTGAAGCCCAGTCTTTTAAAACATTTCTGCAAGAGTTAAAGTTATATTTGATAGTTATTCAACTTACAAGCAACTTTTTACTTAAGTAAACACCTTATAAAATAAATCAGACCTTATACAGCCTAATTCTCAACTGGTGGCACAAACCTCATTCAGCCCATATATCTTACCAGTCCTCCGCTAGTTACCACGCTATGGCTTCCTGCTGTAGTTCAACATCACAGCAAAATTTATCTATGCAAAACACACCTTATCTGTGCCCAGGAGGGCTTTTTCTCATGACCGAGCCCCTCCAACAGGTCTCTTCCTGATTTCTCCTCCCCAATAGACTTGCTGAGGGGACCTCAGCTTGAGGAATAGAAGCACAGCTTAGAGGAGGAATTGCTGTAGTCTCTAGGGCTTTTTCTCCTGACCAAGTCATTACTTCACACCCACAAACGCCAACTCCTAGAGGTACGAGTAGGACTCTGTCAAGCTTGCTACATGTCCCAGGGCTAGCAATTTTGGGGGAAAGGAAAATAGCTTTTGCAATCATGTTTATTTAGGAAGCAGAGAAAAATCTCCCTTTACGTAGTGAGTCAAGGACAGGCACACACTAAGCAAGCTGGTTTTAAACGTAAACTGTTGCAAGCGAGAGAGTTGGTCAGTGTGCTTAAACATTAATTAAACAGATCTGTTCTATAACATTACAGGAAAAAAAAACAGAAAAGAGATCCTTTAAAGAGATTTCCTAGTACCTAGTTCAGCAAAAAGCCAGCTTCTTCTTCACTTACCTTTTGGGGAGAAGGTGGTAGAGGCTCAGAGGAGTCTACGGGAGCTGAGAGCAGAGGCCCCGTTCCCCAGGTGGTGCAGATTTAAACAGCACAACGTCATGCAGCTGATGAGGTTTTGCCAGAAAGTGTTGCAGCTGGGTTAAACTACCACTGTTATGGCTTAGTTAAACCACATACCTCCTTTCTTCCAGTAATATCTAGGAACGGCGTAATATTAATGGCCTAATGTTTGTTTGATATTTTCATTTTCTCTTCAAAGTTCTGAATCTCGTGGCAACCCTAATGACATTTATTAAATAAAATGGGAAGCTCTTGAATTCCAGCTAATGTTCTCTTCATTGCAACCGTTCAATACTTAACACTTCGTACAAATTTGACCCTGTTTTGGCACTAATTGTTCAATATGTTTGCCAGTCTACCTTTGCTGCTTTTGGCTGGGGATGCTTCTTCATCAATTGTAGATCTAAAAGGTCCTTTTTTTTTTTTTTTAAAATAAGATTCCTACAAAAGGAATATCACAAGCAATAATGCACAATTATGCAGTGTAAACTTTTCCGGAAGAGATCTTTATGTCAGGTATAGCAGGTCAAAAAACATCAACTTATTAAATGGCTCCAGAAAATAATAATCAGCATTCTTTAATCAAAAAGACATCAATGATGAATTATGTGGCCTTTTCTTTAAACATCTGCTGTAATTTAATTAAAATTTGACTGGGAAAAAGCAGTTTGGATTATTTTGATTAGATTAAAATGGCAAAATGTTTATTTATTATTATATGAATAGTAAGTAAGGTTTTCAGACTTTTCTATTATGCAACCTGAAACAAAAAACAGTTTTGCCATTTAAATTTTATTCTGTACTAGGACTGATCAGAAGAGAAACATAGCTGTATTTTTTTGCCCTTTTTGTAAAAGGATTCTATTTAAATGTCATAATTTTAAATTGGGCACTCAAGATACATTGAAGTGCCATTTGTCCAGTTCAAAATACACCTAAAATATTACATTCTTTGAGCATTAAATTCTTATAGAGCAAAATGAAACTACTTAGAAGCACAATGCCCTGTGCAATGCAGTTAAAGATTTATTTTTTGCGCAATGATAGTTTATGGAACATGTTTTTTTCAAAGTCATTACTTTATTGATCTAACAATCATAATTTTAGAAACATACCTTCTCTTGATGGATTAATGTGACAAGAAAGAAATAGAAAACTTCTAATACCTCTTGCAGCAAAAAGTATCTAACCTCCTGACCTGACCTATACCTGTTCATATCTTCAATGGTTGGCAACAGCTATGCCACATGTTTTGGGGATTTTTTCTTTGATTCGTTTTGGTTTGGGTTTTTTTGACAGGCTGCTTTTAGGGAAACGGATGTAGCGCATGTGGCCAAGCTCTCCATGTTTTCAATGTGGAGAAACATGGAGAAATAGAGATGGTTTAGGACAGCTAAATCAGTTTCCTGATATGAAGGACTCTTGTAAGATCTCCTCTTTCTCCACCAAGTGCAGAGGGAGAGCACATCCTCGAGGTTAGCGCTCCTCAACATCCCTCTGGGCCTCCCTGCACTTGCTTCAGGCTGTTCCTCACCCTCAGTAACCCACTCACCAACTGCATGATGCTTTCAGTCGGTTGCATTTCACCCACTTCTGCAAGTGAAAGAGTCCAGAACAGTGTGGTGTGTTTTTGGAAAACCTTCATATTTTTCTAGGTTTATGTCTAAAAAGAGCCATGTGATTTGGGAGAACTGGATTTCTCCTCTCAGGAATGAGAAGACATTTTGATTAGGCAGAAGGTAATGTAAAGCCAGTATTTCACACTGAAAAAGACCTATAATTGCAAATCTCTTTCACTCTGAAAGCTTTGTTTTTCCACCTTTGCAAGACTTCAGAAAAATTCTGGAGGAGGAGATATTTACTGGAAATGAGCAACTGCAGTTTTTTGGTGAGGGGTGGGGAGAGGAGTTGCTAGCCTGCCTTCAATAGAAGCAGCTGCACAGCAATCTGGAAATTAGCCCAGTTGGGAGGAAAAAGTTTGTCTTCCAAAGAGAAGCAAGCTCAGAAATTGGAGGAAGTTTGTGTCTGCCTGTCAGCAAAGACTCCCGCAGCTGAGTAAGTAAGGGAGGTTTAGGTAGGAAGTGTCCTTCCGCTGCGAGGTGGGCATCTCCTGCCGTTCGCACCTTGTCTGCCTGTTGTGGGATTTAATGCTGGTTTATTAGAGAAATAATTTTTCCTTTCTCTCCTTGCTTTGTGCTGTTGGAGTATCTTAGAACAAAATACTCTACTGCCATGTAGTATGTTGGCTTAGCAGGTCTAAGAGCTCTTCTTCTTGTCGTTAAAGCCTATGCTCTTAGTGCCCACATTAACAGATACCCTGCTTTAATATGCAGGCTTCATAATTAATTTCTGATTATCCCACCAACAATTTAATTGCAACAGAAAATACTTACTTTTGTATTCCACTGGATTTAAAATGCTAACTCGAGCCTAGTAACCCTTTCAGTTAAAGCTTACTGCTACTGTGAAAAACATTTATCTGTTCCTTACGACAAAGTGAAAACTCTGTATAAACAACCTAAGCAACTTTGCACTCCTACTAACGGCAATGTAACTGGAACACCAGGCCCCTCAAACAACCAACCTCCGGCAGATCCTGCGTGCTTTAACGCTTACTTGAAGTGTGGACCCAAATTAAGTTAGTCATTTTTACTGGATCAAAATGTAGTTGTTTAACTTTCTTTTCCTGAAGCAAAAAGAGTTTCTTGATAATGAGTTGTGTTTTTTTCCTGATTGTTGATGAATGGACAAGTTGCCTAGGAATATGTCGGACAAATCTAAAAGGCTTAGAAATTAAGAACTAATCGGGAAATGGAAGATACATTGAAATATCTACAGTATTACGCAGGACTGCTCTCCAAAGAGGCCCCTCACACAAAGCAGAATAGACAAACTTTGGATTTCGAAAATGGGTTCACAGACAAATTGTTAAATATGTGATTTTAAAAATGACTTGCTTTGTGGTGCAGGAGGACCATATTTAATCAAAGTGCATTCTTAGTCAATGCTGCTTTTGTGCATTACATTACCAGTGAGATCTACTCTGAATGACTGAGGCATTAAAGTAGTTTAACCATTTTCAACAACCTGATCTTCTTCTCCCCTTACCCCCTCCCACGTACATGTTTGGGGATTAAAATACTGAAATCCTGCACACAGAAATACAATGTTTTCATTCACTTGCCCTCTATACCACTTGTGGGAAAACGATAGTGCAGGACTTCAAAGAAAAAAGCTGCCTAATATCTAATATATGGAGATGCTTAAAACTGTGTTTAATGCAGTAAATGTATATAAATCAAGACATTACCACCAAATTAAACATTTGAAACTTAGTACAGAAAAAAGAAAAAACACAACAGGAAATTATACACGGAACGATGGATAATACTGAGAAGGTACAAGGCTTGCAGTATATCAGAAGAACTGTGCAAAATTGACAACTGGGAACAAATATTCACACATTGTCAAACTGAAAGATTTTTTAAACAAAAAAAGGCTCATCTGTGATTCTGACTTCATCAGTTGTATGTTGCTCTTCAGGCAACATACAGTGAAAAGGTGGGTATGTAACCTTTGCAAATACCTTTAAAATCATGATCTAACAAAAAAGCATATTTAGGTCCGAGACTTTCTACAGAACGTTAATTGGATCGGCATTCTTTCAAGTGTACAAACAAAAAGATCAAAATAACCATGCTATAAGAAACTAGTTATCAATGTATCTGTAAAATAAACAATTTCAGAACGGTCTTTCATGAGCAATGCAGCCAACAAGTAATTCTTTAGTCAAGTATGTATCCATTTGCCTGCAAAGTATTTCTAAATAATCTTTTCAAAAAGTATTGTTAGACTAGTGCAATATAACTTTCTCAGCAATTGCAACAAATGAAAGGTACCCCACAGAGAACAACAGGAGAAATTTTTCGCAAGAGGGTATAGTCCTGCAGTTGGGCAAAATTGGGCAAAAATTCCCTTTGATGCCACTGGGAGCTATGACTAAGAGCTGTGCACAGTTAGTCCCTTAGGAATGAATTCTCTGCTCACTACGTGGGCAGTTGGGGGTGAAACTCTACATGCAGAAACATCGGAATATATCCCTAAGTAGTCACTATGCAGTGGCCATTAAAACATTTGAAATGTAAACATTTGTTTTGTGTTTAACCTATAAAATAATGCAGTTTCCATGCAGTAGGGCACAATTGTATCAGAAGAATTGATTACATTATTAGCTAAGGAAATAAAACTGGTATATCAGTTTTACCACAACTGCATTTTTTCCTCTACGCTACATTTCACATTGGTAACAGGTCAAGTGTTATATCGTAAGCAGGTTAATATGATCTTGTGATTTGAAAGCAAAAATATTTTCTGCAAGATTTCTGTATTAAAATAGTTATGTGCACAAAAGGTGTTCATAGCCTGACACCCAAAGCAATATGGAGTTTGTTTGATAGTACTTCCGTTATAGCAGAACTATGGACTTCATTCACTAGACTATGTAGTACAAATTAAGATTACTGGTACATATAAAAAAAAAAAAATCAGATAGGCAATCAATTACAAACCTGGCAGTATTTTGAGAGAGAGAGAGATTTTTAAGTCTTATAATGGAATGATTAAAACACCAGGAACTTCTTTGGGGAGCTCCAGTAAGAGATTTGCACTTGGTGTCCTCATTAGCTTACAAGCAGCCCTACTGCACAGGAATACATTGCACCAGGAGTTAATATCAGGGTCTAGAGTTCAAAAAATTTGCTAAAACTTAAGTGCAGTAGGTTCCACTACATTGTTCTTCTGTTGAAATGTATAAAACATAGAAAATTGTAATGGTGACTTATTGGATAAAAATACTAATGTTCACAGACAAAACCTGACTGATCTGTGAGTCAGATTTAAATATACATCTTTTGCAGATTTAATCGGCATGATTTGAATATTTCAGGTATCTTTGACCATCAAGTAGCAGTACATATTTACCATTTTACATTGATTCCTTTAATGTGCTATGTCATTTCCAACTAGGCTTTCAAACAGCAAAGCCCTACTTGAAACCTTCATCAAATATGTCTTTACAGTCTAAGTATATATTCAATGAGAAATGCCTTTATACAATATTTACAAATTCTCTCCGTTACATAAAAAGGCAAAATAAATAAAAAGCTTAAGGAAAGGAAATGCTGCTTAGGCTGTAGGCTTTTGCTTTTATCTTCCCCTAGCAGATGCTAGTCTCTTCAGTACATGAAGTTGTCTAGCCAGGATTGTTTTTCTTCCTCTTACTTGGGCTGTGACTGGGATCTTGTTTCAGTTCATGATATTGCACCTGTTTAAACACAATGTTCAGAGAGAAACTGGTCAGGTGGCCACTTGCTAGAGGAAAAAAAAGAAAAAAGAAAAAAGAAAAGGAAAGAAAGATTTCTATTTTTTTTTTCCAAGGCAAAAAAAAAAAAACAGGAAAGAAAAAGTAAAATATCATCCTGAAAGCTAGATGGGATCTGCAGCTGTGATGCAACAACAACAGAATGATAGATCTGGAGTAAGAACGGAAAACAGCATTAGGAAAATCCTGCCAGGAAATAAAACGGTGTGCTGATGTAAACTTTTTAGAACACTTTTTTTTCCATGAGATGTAACACAGAAAATAAACAGTATCCACTTTAAAGAGTTGGATGAATATTCTTTGCAATCTGTTTCTTAAAATTACATTTTTTTTTCAAAGGCCTACCACAGAGGGATCAGATTCAGATTGGGTATGTGCACATGTACCTCTTATTTATGCCAGCTCTGAACTGAAACCATCACCTAGCAATACGGAGAGTATATCGTCTTTGTGATACTGGAGGTGATTTATGTGTACAACATATCTTAATGCTTACACCTTCTGTACAACATATCTTAATGCTTACACCTTCATGTGAGGTTGTGTGCTGCAGTATAAAAGGTTATAATTCATAGCCTGCTTATTTTTAAAAGGGCTCATGATCACAGGTGAACTGCGATCAAAACAAAGATTTTCACCTTAGGAAAAAAAAAGTTTCAAGCACCTTAACTTTCAGAGCGCTGTTACAAGACACTGGGCAAAGCAGCCTGCCACTGACTGCACAAGTGCAGTTCCTTCCTTTCATTATCTGACCTTCCTGTTCCCTCTCTGCACTTCCTAATGGGCTCAGGCAGAGCACTTCCGATAGGAAACCCTGGCAGTGCCTTATTCAAATAATATTCACATGGGCCCTGGAGGCTGGTTAATACAAATGCCAGCACCCACTACCATTTTCCAAACGGTTGTCTTTTTAGTGATTGCCCCCAAAGACACTCAAAGGCATAACTGTGGCAGTAGCTTATTCCTTACTGGCAAAAATTCTTAAGTTTCATGGAATATCCTTGGCTTGAGTTTTAATTTCTTTGTGCCAAAGAATATAAAGTCACATCAAAATAACTGCTTTAAAATTAGTTAAAAAAAAGAAAATCAGAAAATCATGATGCCATATATCAAACTAACAACTGCATGGACACTTGAAAAAGTACACGCACCACTTGTACATCTGATGGAACTCTGGACAGAAAATCAAGCAGCTCATTGTTATCGATTGCATACGGACTTCGAAGCTTCTTTGTAAATTTGTTGATGCCTGCAAAAGTGAGAGTTCAAATGTTACTATCATCATCTTTTTATTAAAATACGTATTTTTGGCAAAGTTCTGGGGGAGATTTTAGGATAAGTTTCAAAGTCTGATATTAGCACCGAATGAATGAATGAATGAACGAATGAACGAACCATAAACTCAGTCTCTAAAAGTCACACTCTGTTGGGGTGGTTTCCTCTGCTTCAAAATACAAATGTTCTAGTGAGATATTCAAATTCCTCCAATAGTCTTTTTTTTTTTTTTTTGAAAATAAAACTTGTTCTGTCTTGGTAAGACTTCAAACATGCAGAGGTTGCATAAAGGAAAGGAACAGTGTGTACTCCATCTCTGTGGTGAACAGGACAAGTAATAATGGGTTTAATTGCAGGATGGAAGATGCAAGTTAGATACCAGGAAAATCTTTCTAATGCTAAAGACAGTGAAGCGCTCGGAAAGTTGTGAAGTCTGCATCAAGTGAAGGCTTCTAAGAAGAGATTATACAAATCTCTGTCTGTCAGGGAATGACAGATACAGATGACCCAACTGCAAAGCTGAGAAGGGCCAAGATATTTTCTTTAGACAGCATAGTCTTATAATTCTAATTGACATTGTTTAAAAACACCAAGAAAATTCCTCCACCCCAAATTAAGCTAAAAACAGATTTTTAAATTATACTTGTTTTCATATCATTATGTACCAGCTCAGATTCAAATACGTTTCATGACAAAAAGTAGCGTGTGTACTATGGGAACCCAGGTCTAAAACATGACCAGGAACGCTACCAATCACTCACATTCTCATATGAACAGGAGAAAGCTGGCACAACATTTGAAAATATGTAGCTGTTGTTCTGGGTAATTTATCAAGCCTGTATCAGAGATAGGATAATTCAGTTTACGTTCCGAAAAGTCTTTGGTGCCGAGGCCTTTCAGAAAGTTGTAGAAAGGACATTAAGCTTCAGTCGTCTTGATAGCATCCCTAGTCTCCCAGAGAACAAATTCTCAGCTGTTCTGTGAGGATATGAGATGGCTACGATACTTTTATCTAGTGATTAAACAATGAGTATTGAGAAACAATATTTGAGATCCAAACACTATTTGCGATCCAAACACACTTGTTGAAGAACATTCTTTACATCATCAAGTTACTAAGAAACAAAACGTCTACCCACTGTTTACTGAACATGGCCACTGGACCAGTCACTGGTGAACTCAGGAGGAGCTGATATGGTCCCACCTTATAAAGAGAACCAGTTACTGCATGAGAATAAATGCATGAATAGATAAGGTCAGGGCTCAAGAGAAGAGAAAAGCAGAACTGATCAGAGGGGAGACTACAGGAAAAGTAAAAGATGACAAGGCGATTAGGTCTTTTCTAAAAGCTTGAAATTTTTCAGATTAAAATTATTTTCCCGATACTGCTTTCTACAAATAGCTGTAGCAGTTACCAGGACTCTGCACCGTTGCAAATGGGATTAGAGTGCAAAGGTTTTTCCTACTCTGCTGTGGCTAATGCAGGATAAGTTCAAGTCTACCCAGGGAGAAACAGGGTTGGGAGGGAAAGAACCCAGAATCTGTTGCAAAAGCAGGCTGAAAGAAGTAGTCCCTGTGGATGTAGAGAAGACAGACAGCTATACATAAGACCAGCCATAGCACAGAGGAACTTTCATAAAAAACCATCTGCCTTCCCAAAGAGCTAAATGGGCAAACACTGATAGAGAACAGCTCCAAGTTTCCTGTGGATGAAAGTCAAACAACAGAGATCATTTGCTTTCAAATGCAGGATACATGAACGGGATGAAGAAATTAATATACACTAGGGAGTCTAGTAACATAAAATAATGGAGAAAACAGGTACGGATGTGCTTGGAATGCTACATTTTCAAGGCAGTTTCCTAGGCTGAAGGGCAAGTGGCTCAAAGCTACACACAGCATTGCACTGCTCTGTGTTAATGCATTTCATCCCTAGGGAGGTTTGGATTCCACTGATGGTGGAACCTCACCGATGCAGTACGTGTCCCATCTCCCAGCACAACACAGAAGGAGAAACAGGTATCTACAGAAGGGATCCCTAGACACCAGCTGAACAAGAAGTCACCTAAACTGAACTGCATGAGAAAAATGTGGAGAAGGACCCTCTTACGAACAAAGGCACTTAAAGGCATATCCATGACTAGATAGCTTGCCAGGGGGGAAAAAAAGGGAGAGCGCACATGAGAGAGAGCGCAGGCATGAGCATGTGCAAAATGCATCTAAAAGAGTGATGATGTTATTCATCCACAGTTTGGGAGATCTGCACTGGAGTTTACAAGTCCTGGCTCTGCCCAACCTGAAACAGAAACTTGGACTTGCTCTTTTGTGGGAATTGTAATACCTCCCAGACTATTGCAGGGGTAAGTATCTTTTAATCTAACCTTTCAAACAACAGTGCTGATTCTATAGTTTTGAGGGTCTTGGAAAGGTATTATAAGCTCAAGTTCTTGCAAGAAACCAAGATGCATGAAGCCAAGTGTCCAAGATGCCAAGTCTGTGCAAAAACCACTACAAAAAGGAAACAGACCAAGTAGGTTAAACTTCAGTAACAAAAAGCCTACCGTGTTGTGTAGGCTAGGAAGAATGCAATTTTGGGAACAAACTAAGAGGTTGTGGTTGCACCCTAGGGATAAAAGGTATGAGGCAAATAAATGAAACAAGAAAACACACTAAGCCTATACACTTGCTTCTTTAGTTCTACAGATTTCCTTTTTTTTGGCTAAGTTCTCCTTATTATTCCTTCCCCATTTTGTATATTGTGTTACATTTATTTGTAAACACTCTGTAATAACACAACCAATACTGACCTATCTAAAAAACACATAGTCCAGAGTCAATTCAATGATTCTGAGTTGTCTCTCGCACTCAAAGGTTTTTCAAAGAAATGATTATTCTTGTCTTCAGAAAGAAAATCTAGCCACAGATTCAATTAAGACCGTTCTCTTCGCAGGTTTACACTACCGAATAAGGCATACAGCTGCTAGTGATGTAGAACTGTATTAAAAATGTACAAATGAAAATCCAGAGTATTATTTCCAACAGATGTGCTAATAGTAGCTGTTTAAAATAAGGAATAGCTGTAAGGACTCAGCTCACTCACAACACATATACCCCTCTAACCCCCTAGACCTCCCAGCTTCTGTTATCAACTGGCCAAATACCACATATACCTTTCTGTCACACTAAAGGTGACCCTTTAAACAGGTTTCTTGTTGCTATATTTCCATACACTTTCAAAAGATAAAGTACTGCAGTAAAAAAGGCGCATTGTCCTAAATGCACTATATAGATTGAAATGCCTCTGTTTGTGTATAAGTGGGGAGAATAAATCAGAGTAATACCTAGACAAAGCTACAGTTTGATATATGAAGAATCCTCATGGCTCCATGTTTATAGTATGATGAAGTCTAGTATGCCAGCCAAGAAAAATGCATTTTGCAGGTGGGCTTAAATCTTTACACAGTTGTGATTTTTAACTAACCTGTCTCTTTCCATCATAGAGCAGCTTCATGACCATAAATACAGAAAAGCACTGACAATATAACTCATCCCTTAAAAAACATTTTTTTCTAAGTGGCACAGGCAGTTAAAAAAGGCTTTACTTACCCCAGACAAGGACAATGTATCTCAGTGGAATGAAATACAGGATGACTGTGAACACAGAGAGGGCAACAATTGCCAGCCAGCTTAAGAATGGGACAGTCCAGTTGAATGTACTAAGTGAAAAATTAATATAAGTCAGAACACTGGTCACCCAACAGAACCAACAAAAGAACAAATAATGGTTAGGCAGGCTACCCAGATCCCCATCTTCAATCTATTTTCCCCCAGCCAGGTAGAGGTAGGATGTAGTGGTTAGAACAGCACTTCTGAAGATTTTTGTTTGAGATCCTCCTTGTTCTCCCTGCAGCACAGAGCAAGGAGCTAAAGGCTGCACAGAGACCTTCCTTTGGGTTTTGCATTCCCTAGCAATCAGGAATCTTAGGGGGTACGAGCAGAAAAAGGCAAGCGTGTGTGTATCCAAACCTGGAACTCATCCTGAGAAGAAAGGGGTTAGGAAAAATAAGGGGACAGACCAATCAGTCCTGAAGAGAGGGAAAATGTTGGGGGACAAAAGAAAAAAACCCCACACTTTCGGGGGCAAAAGAAAGAAGGATAAAAAAGAGGGAAGGGGCAAAAGGAGGGAGTGGCATAACATCAAGTACATTACAGATAAAGAGAAAGAGAAACTGCATCTTTCTAGATGAAATTAAACAAAATATTATTTCTTCATGGACAAAGGAAAAGAGAACTTCTGGGATCCCACCAGCGTTTCAAGACATCAACTTTCCAGCAAGGTCCCAGATTAAAATGTTATTAATAAGGGTCCCAAATTCTACAGTTATAAAAATCTGTCGTTCACCTCATTTTGCAGAGGTTGAGGTATGGGCAAAGAGGGAGGGCAAGCTAATGAGTCTTAAAGCATCTGCACTGTGGTTCCCCAACCTCTGCGTGCAGGGAAGAGAGAAAGGCCAGATGGCTAATTTATGTATATCCCATGGTAACTTTGGTTAAAGGGGGCTTGGTTAAACGGGATTATTCCATAAAAGGCACTACCATGCTAGAGGTGCCGTATGACATTTATCCAGAAGGGAAATGTGGCTTTGGCTCTAAATAACCTGATGATACCTTTTAAGGTATTATTACTAGCTACATACCCAATCACATTGGTTAAATTATTTTGGCTTCTCTGGCTGAATAATTGCAATTATCTGAATTGCTGGCCATATTTTTCATAATGAGCTCTGGCTTCCTGTATTTATTTGACTTTTTTTTTCTCCCTGGCAATTTTGACATGTCTCCAGAGTGAACATTATGTTAGTGTCACTTGGTGTAGGATCACTCCCTTTCTCCTCAGGGGACACCTGCTCTTTTCCCTTCTTCTGCGTGCATTTGGGCTGAACAGAAGGTTGAGGGTCTGCTCATGTTCCTGTGACTCGGCTTTGTGCAATGGATCACAGACACGCCATGTGTGGGAACACTGGCTCCTCACTTAGCAAACCTCCTTCTGTGCTGTGTTAGCACAGCATTCAGTACAGGTTTCCCATTATAGTTTTAGGAACAAATTACAAAGATTTATAGGAAGATTCAGTCTCACTTTGTTTAGAAAATTATATCCCTCTTATCTTGCACATAACAGAGCAAACTCTACTTTCAAAATGCACAATTAAAGGAACTTAATCCTCAAGATGACTACTTCCATGAACAGCCTGTTGATAAAAGACTTGGTTCATAGACAGGCCCATCTTGCTTGTTTCGAAAACTCACGCAATATAATGTGCTTACGCCTGCCTCTGCTGCTGTGAATAAGGCCTGTTTGGAAAGTATCCCCATGGGAATATTTTCCCCGGTTTTCTTACTAGGGCCTTTGCCCTTAAATGCATAAGCGGCAACTTTCTCTTTATCCTGATTCTGATGCATTTTCCACTGCTGATAGATTAAAAAACAACAAACAAACAAAAAAGCTGAAACAGGATGAGAGATTATCCTCATATTTCCTATGGGTTGACCTCTAGCCAATGTATCAACTTCCTCAAATTCACTTCCAACAGGAAATACTCATTTTGGGGCCGTACCCTTAGCATGGGCTACAATCCCATAAAAATGGAAAACCAATTCGCTATAGATGGCACTGAGCTGTAGAAAAGCCAGCTGCCTTAGGTTTACAGATAACACTCAAAACAAGAGGGAATGCACTGCTTTAACTTTCTTTTAAGAGCATCTGAGTGCCCCAAAAGAAACTTTATAGCAAAGACTCTTGTGAAGACCTTCTAACTCCGTCCGGCTCGCGGGCCATCTTATTGCCCTCCCTTTCTGCCGCAGAGGAAAGGAGGTGGCGAATGCACCGCCCTCAACCTTTCTTCTTGAGAGGCTTTGCACTCGGCTTTTGGATGGCAGAAAGCCAAGTAAATCCTGTCCCGGTTTCTCAGGTCAGAGAATCTTTCTGGAACTTTTCTGATCTCAGATAATAAACTTGAAACTACTATTCACCGACCGTGCCAAAATTGCACCAAACTTCCTGCACTAGGCCTCACAGTTGCTTCCTCATATATACTGTAAAGCTCATAACTTCTCTTGCTTAAGGTTTAAATTTGTTGGCAATTCTTATATACCATATATTAAGCATTAAATATTACATATAATCTATGAGGAAAAGTTTTGTTAACTTAAATAAAACATTTCCAGCAACACAGCATGCATACATACATCCTCCAAATCTGAATCCCGTAGGCAACTCCGCTTATTTCCTTCATCAAAACTTTCCATTTTTTATTATTACTTTCAAATAATTACTGCTACGTCTCACAACAAGATTGAGTTTTTTACTTGACAACCTCAGTTTGGATTTTTTTCCCCCCCTACTTACTATATTTCTAAATTCCAAAATTAATATGACAGGATTTTCACAAAACTCAGGGCCTGCATAGAGCAAAGTGAAGAATGATGAGTTTTAGCAATGCATCATCCAAAATTGCCCCCCCCCCCAAAAAAAAAATCTAACCCTTTGCCCCCCAGCTTGGAAAAAATATAAACAGTATCAGAGAAGTAACCAGCATCTGTATGTCAGCACTTACTTCTTTATCCTTTCTCCAAAGGAAGCCACCTCATCAAGGACATTCTGGACACTGACACACACCTCCTGGATGGCATAAAGTTTATTCATAAATCCTTTTTTCTCACTGTCCTAAAGAAAAAAAAAATAGTATTAACTGCGTAAAAAAATTTCTGATCATAGCAAATGTGCCAGGTATCTATCAGGTAAATTTCAAAATTGCACATTACAGATATATCTAAAAATCATTAATAAAAACTGGCATTCAGAAATTGTTTTCTTGTCCTTTAAACAGTGCCTACTGAAAATAAATATAGCTCGGCATATTTATTTAGCACCACACAATTTTATTTGTCATTACATTAGCTTCTAAGTATGTATTGCAATAATTCAGCTCTCTGGTTTATAATCATGTCGAAGGTGCCAAGTTCGTACGCTGTGCGCTCTGTCAAGCGCTGAGTCAAAACACAGGAGGGGAGCCATTTCTCACAGTGCCCTTTCTTGAGCTGAGGTAGGCACCAAGAAGATAAATGCACCTCTGGAAGCACTAAGAGGAAGAAGCGAGAAACACGTCAGCTCCTGCGGGCGACAGCGCCTCTGGCTTGCTAGGGCTCGATTTGAGATGTCCGCCTTCCCTACCCTGTCAGCCTACGTTGGACCAGAAGGTTGGGATGGAACAGAAAATGCCAGATGCGCTCATCCCAGCGTGCTACGAAGGCGTGCTGCTCTTCCGCTTAACCCGCTTTATCAGGGGTATTCCACTTAGCTTAGAAAAGACACCTTCGTCCTTAGCCGTGCACATCATACCGACACCATCGTTTTGTACGTTGCTTAACGTATCCGTGACGCGCAGAGCACCGCTGCCAGTCCCTCAGCACACCCCGCATGCCTCTCTTACCCTATCGCCCATTAGCAGCGCAGCGCGAGGACACCCCGTGTGCACCCACCGCACAGCAGGTGGCATTCGCCCCGGACAAACCTGAGCGCATCACTCCGCTGCAGACAAGCTGCTAAATACGCGTTTCAGTTGTCAGACATACCCGTGCCCCCTATAATCATTCTGTTCTACCATTCGACTCGGCCCATGAACACGCGCTCGCTCCCTCTTTTTTTTTTTTTCTTATTAATATTCAAGCGTCAGTATGCATGAAATGTATGTGAGATACAACTCCAACTCCGTTACAATATGTTTAGTACAGTCTGCGGTTCTGAAAGCTTATAAATGCCAGCCACGGAAGCACTGAAAGATGCAGGAGAGGTGGCACTGTATGAAGGCGTTTCACCATCTCCTTATTTATCCAGGTTTCTCTGTGCTGTTGGACTTTTATTCACAAAGCCATCAGTTTATGGCAATGTAACAGTCTAACCATAATTTCATTTTTGTTAAATATCAGGATCCTTTGTTCAATTTAGAAAGTGTTTTTCAAAAATCGAGTGGCCGCTTGTCCTTGAAAAGCGGGAATCACCCCCACTTTAGATCTTTTCAGGGGTCTTTGATAGATTTGCTACGAGTAAATTTTGTCCTCCTCTCTGCCAGCAGCTCCAGCTGACTTTGCCTCCTGGAAGAATTGTCATCAGAGGAGCAGATGAAACCAACAACGTGCTGGCCAGGGACGTATGCACACCGGTCCATAGACCATGCCTTAGCTGGGCTCTGTCCCACTCCCGCAGTCTATTCCCTTTTCCCAAAAGCTTTTCATCTGTCTCCTAACCCCAACCAGCCTGAAGCATCAAATCCACACAGAGCCAACCGTGCTCTCAAAGAAATGCTGTATTCGACAGGTTTAAAATCAGGCATCACCACAGACAAAAATGACAATTTCTCTCAATTTTTCTCAGATTACATGCAAATCGGAAGTTTATACTCCACAGTTCCAATGGACTGGTGCCATGTTATCCTGCCTAGTTTGAACGTGGTTAGTGTTTTCTCAAAATTAGAAACAGAAAGAAAAATAATCCAAGATTAGCAAAGAGCAGCAAAATATTTGAAAAAAAAAAAACCTGTATCACGTTTTGCTGTTACAAATCACATAGTACAATAATCTCTGTAACTGACCCCCAAATCCTGCACCTAAGAAATTGGCTGATGTTGCACTTCATTCCTCTTTTTTTGTTCTGATGTTCAATACTTTATTAGCAGACAGAATATTGGTTCATTTATTTTATTGTCATTTTTGCTTTCTTTATAAACCAGCTTGGGTAAGGAAAATATCATTGAATCATCCAAAGGTATTCTAGTGATGCTGGTTCTGCAACTGTACTGTCAAGATTTTTTCTGAAGATGTTAAAAGCATTTAGCTGCTACAAAAGACAGATTAGCTATAAATAAACAATCGAGAGAGCAGAGAGAGAGAGAGAGAGAGAGAGAGGATAAAACTATTTCCAGTAGCTTGGTGTAATTTTAAAACCCAAACGCCTCAGAGATAGCAAAACGTTCACAGTTTCTCAGGGAACGTGAAAGACCTTATGCTCTCAGTTAAGATTAATAATTATTTATATCTCAAAAAACGTTTTTTGTTTTTGAAGATGACCTTAGCCACAACTGCTGAAGCCAACTATACCCAATGTTGTATAGCATCACTGAGTCATTTCTGAAGTTATTTCTTAATATTTATTTCATCCTTGAATCCTTGGCAAGGACAGTGTTATTGTTCCATGGTATACAACTTCTTAGTGGTACCATATACATCCAGTGTGTTGCATTTCTGTTTAACTGTTTATACCACTACAAAATCATCAAGAGAGAGAGACTGGCTCTATCCATTCACATAAAACATGCACTTCCAGCACTGCGCAAACATGAAAATAATCTGTTTTTTAATATATTAGCAGCGAGCAACTGCAAGCCATACAAAAATCACAGACATTTTTCTGCCTTTGTAGTGCATGCCATTTTTGTCTCTTCAGTTTACATCCTGCCATCCCTGTAAAGCTCTCTTGATTTATAATTAAATTGTGTGAGAAAAGAATTATATCAACATAACAAAAAGAGTACCCTTTGTGACATCTCCAGAACTCAACAGGGATTACTTCAAGAGGTCCTGAGGCTATTTTTCTTTACAAATATTTTACAAGACAAACTTGTCCCTTTTTGGAAAATACATCTGTTTCAAATCATCTTCTGCGAAAGAAAGAACGACAGAAAGAGAGAAAAGAGAAAAAGAGAGAGAGAAAGGATCATTATTTCCAGCCTCGCCCCTGCACCTTCTGAGCTTCAAGAAATTTGTTGACGTATTCTGAAGCAGGCACAGACAGAACGGCACAGGAAAGAGGAGGCGGTCAGAAGGATCAGGGTTCGGCTTTGCTTAAACTAATTCCACATGCCCCACAAGCCATTAGCTGTTTTTTATTTCCTGCTCCAAAGATTTGTGGAGAAAATAATCTGGGCTAGGGAAAAGCTGCACTTATTTTCTTCCAGCAAGATGCTGTGCTAGCAAATACAACGTATGAGCCACCTTGAGCGAACCAAGGTTCTTAATAATCCATTTTTCAAATACTACTGGTATTTCCTTTCCAAAGAAAGATGGGCTTTGCCTGGAATCAATTTCATCATTTTTGTTCAGCTACAGTTGCCAACTTTCTGGAAATAATTGCCATTTAAATACTAGATAAAATGTATTATACAAAGCTACCAACAGTTTTATTACTATTTAATTTCCATGATTCGTTTGTTTGCAGGAGGCTTAAGGTACCTGAAAAGCAAGATGTTTGCTAGGGGATGACTTTAAGCATAAACTGCGAAAGTAATGTCAAATTGATGTTGATAGTTTGACTTACAAAAGGGAACGAACCCAAAGTAAAGACTGAGATTGTCTCCTCCTTCTACTTCACAGCAAACTGCAGACTACAACTTGATATACTGCCTAACTGTTGCACACTGATTTTCAACCATAACTATATTTTACCTTTGGTGAAATCAAGGCAAAATAAAATAAATGACTTGCCCTAGATTTTGTGGATCTAGTTCAAAGAAAAACCAAAATATAACCCATATTATCTGAGTCTTTTAATAAAAAGAACAGTGAACTGTGCTTGTGAAACCATGATAAAATAGGGCCATTTAGAAAAGCATTATATCTCTAACCCCAAATCTCTCCCTTCTTTGGGTTCAAGTGCAATTCCAAAACACATATTTCAGAAGACAGGGAAAGCAAAAGTAATAAATAAGCTAGATTCAAAAGTAAACTTTGCTAAAGTTACTGGAATTAGACCAGTGAAAAGAAAGAGCTTTATATGAAAGACAACTTTTTTTAGTACAGAAAATAAAGCTCTGAATAGCTTGTGGTGGGCAACTGTCCTATTAATAACCAGTAAGTTGGAGATAAAGGCACACATCATAAAAACAAAAATCATAGAAGAGTTTTGTCAAGCATAGAAGTAACTTTCGAGTTTTAGGAGATACTGTCTGGGAAAGATAGAGACTCCAGATGGATCTTCCAAAAATATCCTTCGTCTCCGGAGCAAGTATGATAGAGCACTTCTGCGCAAATAGAAGTGACTGAGACAAAGCCTGACTAACTTGTGATAGGCACAGAGAAAGAAAGGATACTTAGCTGTCACTGGCAGAGTACAAGAATATTCACCAGGTACGCGGTAAGGAATTGTTATGGTCCTGTCACTTGGCCACAATGAAGACGTATGCGCTATTTGTTCCTTGTGTCACACTGGACTACCTGCGGCTACATAAAAACAGGCCCGCAGCTATCAGTGAGGAATCGCTCCTTTGACCTTCTGTAACAAACCCATAAATCTCTATTAGCTGAATAGAAGAAGAATACTTCAATGAGGAAACCGTAGCAGATTTCAGCTAATGTATTAATGTAGGACCCTCCAGACCCTACACAGCAGCCCTTTTATTAAGAATTCATGCTAGCACCGGAGCCTACCGCTTCCCTCTTTTGGGGAGTTCCTGAACCCCTTGTCAGAGCGGAAAGCGAGAGTGCTGGCCAGCCGGGGCAGGCTTGGAAGCAGAGCTGAGATGCCCTTACGGAAAGGGGCACGTGCTGCCTCCCTCAGCCACGCTCACAGTCACATGCCTTGGGAGACCTCCGCTCAGAGACGGGTGAAGCAGACCCAGAAGCATCAGGAGGAAATGCATTAGCCCTTTACTGGCAGGAGTCGTTAATATCTCT